TACCGACAAGCACTCAGTCAGGCATGCAGGTTACAAGCACGCACACACACACATACCAGTAAACACTCATACAGGCACACTGATTACAAGTGCACACACACACAGACTTAGAAATCCCAGCAGAATGCGGGAATCTCGGCAAGGCCTCGGCAAGGCATCCATTCCATATGCAGAACTTAGGAAATCAGCAGTATTCTCAGTCTGTATTCTGACGGGTTATTACAGTACCCCCCTCTCAAGAGCGAGGTCCCTTCGAGAGAGTAACTCGATCAGAGTCCGTGCATAATGCATCATATGCATAGATAGCAAAGAGAGACCGGTTGTATTCAGTAGGAGTGAGGGTAGTAGTGAATTTAGGCTGCTGTTCTGCTCTAATCAGTCGTTCATATGCGTTGACGACTCGTGGGGCACTCTGTAGCAAATCCTTCTTGGCAATCCAGTAAATGTTGTCCAACGGGTGGTACAGAAAATGAACCTTATACTGTCTGTTTCTTCCTTTCCCACTGTGTTCAACAATCCTATCAATCTCATGCCCGCCATTAATTGCTCGAGGAATCATTGACTCCCGGTAAGGAAATGTTTCCGGCGGTTCATACGGAAACAGTTTGGACGCATGAAAGACTGGGTACGTGCGTAGATGAGCAGGTACGTCAATCGTGTAAGAAGGACCAAAGGAATCACTTCCTACTTGGTTCAGCACCTTCCACGGACCGTAGTACTGAGGAAGAAGTTTCCGTGATACACCTTCTTCTTCAGAAAACTTAGACATTTTCACCCAGACATAGCTTCCCACTTTAAAAGGTACAGGCTGGCGCTTTTTGTTAGCGTGTTTAATCATAGCACTGCGTCGCCTCTCCATTGCTGCAACAACAACTTTGAGCAGGCGATCAAACTTAGCGCTGTAGCCTGGCTGGCCAGGTGTGAGGCCAGGTGGCTGGTCAGGGAATAGATAGGACAGGGGATTGCGAATCTGCCATCCGAGGTGCAGCCGATTAGGTGTCATCTCTGTAGAGGAGTGTATGGAGTTGTTGTACAATCCTTGCACAATCGGCAGTTCCTCATCCCAAGAGTTCTGATCAGGCACAATTAAAGCTCGGAGAAGTTGGATCACAGTCTGGTTGACCTCCTCGGCCAGTCCATTGGCTTCCGGGTGTCGGCCAGACGTCATCTTGAGTGATGTCGTAGATCTGGGAGGTGAAGTCCTTCCAATCTGCACTGATGAACCTAGTATCTCGGTCGCTCACAAGAGTTTTCGGGGGTCCATATTGCAGAATGTACTTGTTGTGAAACTCTTTGATCACTAGGTCAGTTGGGGCGTGAGGTGGTAATGGAATTAAGTTTAGAAACTTGGAAAAGCGGTCAATGATTACCATTACTTGTGAGTATCCATTCCTGCTCTTCTTTCCCATGTCCGTGAAGTCGATGGAGAGAGACTCACCCGGACCATCAGGAATAGGAAGAGGATGCAGCAACCCATAGGGTTTCTGCCGAGATGGTTTGCGTTGACACACTTCACACTCAGCCACAAACTTCCGTGTCATTTCTTTCATCCCAGGCCTTACAAACTTTTGCAGCAAACTTCCGTAGGTCTTTTCAAAACCGAAGTGTCTGCCCTGGCCGTGAGCCAAATCCAGGAAGTGAGTGATGGTTGGCTCATGGTTCGGTACACACAGGCGGTCGTACTTACCATATCGCCGGAAAAGCAAACCCTTACGCTCATGGAAATCAGGCTGACTGCTAGGGTCATCCCGAATCTGCTCAAGGATAGGACTGAGTTCCGGATCCTTGGCAGTATGCTCGACGAGGTCCTCCTTCAAATTCTTACGGAGATGGTAAGAACTCACAAGGCAAGTCATGTTCTCAGGGTGGCGAGACAAAGCATCCTCAACGCGATTGTAACAACCTTTCTTATGTTTAAGTTCGAAATCATACACAGCAATTTCATGCAGCCAACGGGTCAGCGTTGTTGAGGGATTGTTTCGTGTCTGAACCCATTTCAAGGTCTCATGGTCTGAGAACACTTTGAAATGGCGACCCAAGAGATAGTGCTTCCAATGCTCTAGCGCCTCTCTCAAGGCATAGAGCTCTCGCATGTACGTGGAGGCAGCTACCTTGTGACTGGGCATGCGCTTGCTGTAGAATTCCAGCGGACGTAAGCCATCGCCATCATCTTGCTGCAGCACTGCACCGATCCCATACAAACTGGCATCCGTAGTTAATACGAATATGAGTTTGGGATCTGCAATGCGGAGCACCGGATGACTCACCAAATCCTCCTTTAACGCTTGGAAGGCTTTTGTGCATTCCTCATCCCAAGTGTAAGACACATTCTTACTCGTTAGTTTGGACAGCGGACAGGCAATGATAGAGAACTTGGGAACAAACTTACGGTAGTATGACGCCAAACCAAGAAAAGAACGCAACTCTCGAACATTCGCCGGTTGAGGCCACTTGCGGATGACCTCAACTTTGGTTGCCTCGGGCTCTAGGCCTGCAGCAGACAACCGATGTCCAAGGTAGATGACGCTGTCCCTCCCAAACTCAAATTTCTCTAAGTTGAGATGGAGCTGCGCATCCTTGAGGATCTGCAACACCTCCTCAAGGTGTCCCATGTGTTCCTCCATCGACTTGCTGAAGATTAGTATGTCATCAAGGTAAACAACAACAAATCGGTTAATCTGATTGCGGAACACTTTGTCCATGGGACTTTGAAAGGTGGCCGGTGCATTCGTGAGACCGAAGGGCATGACGGTGAACTCGTACAGCCCATCGCGAGTTTTGAATGCAGTCTTGTGCTGGTCTGCAGGGTCGACTTCAATCTGGTGATAGCCAGACTTGAGATCGATCTTGCTGAAGACTTTGGACCCACCTGCAGCGTCAAGCAGATCATGAATTCGTGGCAAAGGATAGGCATTCTTTCTTGTGAGTCGATTCAGTCCGCGGTAGTCAATACACATCCGTAATTTGCCTCCTTTCTTTGGAACAAACAAAACTGGTGCACCAAATTCAGACTCACTGGGTTTAATCCATCCCTTACCAATCATCTCGTCAATCTGCCGTTGCAACTCCTCCAATTCGCCTGAGCCCATTCGATAGACGCAGCCCTTTGGGGGAGTGCTTCCTTCGATCAACTCGATCTTGTGTCGGACCGGACGCACGGAAACCCCATGCGGTTCGACCAAGACTTCAGGAAATCGGTTGAGAAGGTTACGGATTTCAGATGGGACTTCCGGAGGTGGATCATCACATTCGGGAGCAAGCATATCAGATAGGAACGGTGCAGCCAAAACAACAGGATTAGAAGCGGATTGAGTAGAAGTAGAAGTAGTTGTCTCAGAAGTAGAAACAACATGCAAAGTAGAATCATTATGTACAGCAAAAATAGAAGGCACATAAGCAGGCCTAACAAAGGCTATATACATCTGCTCATCACTCTTGCGCCTGCGCCACTTTTTGCAGAACTGCATAGCATTCAAAAAGGTTATTTGGGATTCGTGCGGCTCGTCCAGGAGGACTGGACGCTCGATCCCCATAGCATCTTTGACCATGAACTGTGATTCCTTCCACGTGGTTCTTACACATTGGGCTTGCAACCAGCTCAAGCCAATAACCGCGTCGAAGGGGCACTGATCAAGGACATAGAAGTTCAGTTCATGCGCGATCGTGCGATCGGCGTCAAAGGTAGTGCACACACCTTTGACTGCATGTGTAGAGGTGACAACCTCTTGGTTGCCTACTTGGGTCCGACAAGGATTCTGCAATGTCACTTGCTTCATACCCAAGCGTGCCTTACGAATGTCGTGCGGTGAAAAGTAGTTGGCGGTTGCGCCACAGTCAGCCGACGCACGGATGTAACGACCATTAATGTGAAGTTTGAAGAAGATCAACTTCGTTCTCCCTTGGGCGCGTTCTTGCTTCATGTGAGCCCAGTGCGTCAACAGAGAATGGAAGTCAATTTCTTCCGACTCCACCCAAGGCTCCTTGTAGAGAATGTGCAATTTCTCAGCCTTGGAATCAGCATCAGATGGGGTTTTAGGAGAGGTTTGTGGAGTAGAATCAGGATCCAATGAAGGACCTGCACTTACATGTRYCGTCTCTCCTTCAGTAGAGTGTGYTGAAGATAYCTCTACCCYCGCTGTTGGTTTCCCTGYTGCAATCTAAAGCAATGCTGGACTGAATGTCCCGGTTTGGTGCAATGCAGGCAAACTCCCTTCTTTACTCTAGACTTCCACTCACTTTCACTGATCCGGAGATCTACCCATGGTTTTGTGGCAGCTATGCCGCTGCCCACTGTTCCAAGGTCATCACTTGGCAGCTATGAAGCTGCTCACTCAACCGCCATGCCTAAGTCTGCCATGAGCTTCCTTGATGCGGCACTACCCCAACGGGGCCTTCCAGATGCAGCGCCTAGCAAGGTGATGAAGATGGTGTCTCCCATAGCCAGGTAAGTACCTCGTCACTCTCCTCCCTCAGTCCTTCTCCCTCCTCCTCCTACCGGGCGAGCTCCACCATAGCCGAGGTGGAAGCTCCCGGCTTCTCCTTCCTTGCAGCACTAAAAGCAGCTAGCGCTGCTCCTCCCAACGCTCCAGCAGCGTGACGCCCAACTCGCACACTGAACAATGAGGCTGGGCTCTTCGCCCGGCCTGAAGATATAGCGGCCTGCTTGCTTCTTGGGCGGTGACTTCCAGGCCGCTCGGCCTTCCCAGCAACCGGTACCTCCTCCCATTCGGAGGGAAACATCATTGCAGACTTATGATATTACCCGTACAGGCTCTAGACTCAGACTGGACGGACTGGTACCGGCCTAGACTTAACCTACCGCTACTGGGCCTCTAAAAATGCCAACTTTGTCTTTTCTGCTCGGCCTCTGGTACCCCTCACATCTACCGCTACGGGGTGCGGTACCGGCCTACCTGCTACTTGAGTGTTTTTTTTCTGCTGCTTCAAGTACCGCGGGCCCCTGGCTCCGCCACTCGAGTGTTTTCCCCTGCTGCAACCCTTCAATGCCACGGCCACAGGTAAGTACCGGCCCTCTGGGCCTACCAACACGTAAGTA